TTAACAACAATGCTCATACGTCTTTTGATAGTATTTCGAATATTTATTTGAGTAAAACGAATTAACAACTTGTGTATGCGCGTGCATATATTTATAAATAATACTTCAATAGACGTATATCTATTGAAGTATTGACGTACTTGTCCCTAGGTAAGCGAACAATAATTTTATTTTATATATATCACACTCAAATGTTTAACCCTGCAGATGTGGTGTGAAACGCATTATGCAACGCGATGTTTGATATAGTAATACGACACACTATGATTTCAAGCAGAGCCGTACCGAGCCAATTTTTATCCTGAGGCAGAACTGAAGCAATGCGCCCCCTAGTTTGTTCTAGATTTTAATATGTATAATACGATTTGGAAAAATCTGAAAAATTGTCATTAGGTTTTTAGCAAAACAAGAAATAACATTTCTAAAAAGGAGTTAATTATTTAATCATTTTGCGCCCTCCCCCCCCCCCATAATCAGGCACCCAAGGCAAGTTGCTCGCCTCACCCTAGTTACGGTTCTGTTTTCAAGAATTTTTAACTATTTAATTATTCAAAATATGATTATAACGATTGCTGCGATATCAATTTGTATCGAACATTATTTCGTACACTGGTACGAATACAAAAGTATTATAATACATAAAGTATAAAACTTTTATAAAAAATCCGTACCTTTTTCGTTTTGTCTATGATTAAGGAATTTAAAAATGAAGTAATCGTAACTTCTATTCGATACATCTCGTACGTACAAGGACGTGAAAATAATGATAAAATAAATATGGGTTTGTTAAGCTTTACTTAGTGCACATTTTCCACTCGATGGATCAGATGAGTTCAAGATAAAAGTGCACGTTAGCGCACCACAATATTTTAACATAATATTACGTGCACCTGTTAGACATGATATCATGTTGGCAACTGACATCTACCATATATGATGAAACATTTCATTCGAAAATATTAAACAGTAAAATATTATATGTACAACAAGCATCTATAAACAAGAAAAAACAAGAGAAATAAATAGTACAGTGTTTTGTATACTACGTATATTTACATAATTAATAGTATTGCATTAACAAAACATCGACTTTGTTTTTTTTTTGTTTAATTTAATTCGTTTTAATACTGAATAATGGTACTCATACAATGTGTTTTTACAACGTTTCGTCGAACATTAGTGGTAGGTAGACGACTTAAAAGTTTTTCTGATTTATGGACCACGCATTCTCGTAATATCATTGCACATTATGTTGTATACGAGTATAGTTTTAATATATTATTTAAATAAAAGTTTGAACAAAATGTCGGCTATCGTTGGACATATATGTTTTTTTCGCGTGACACGAGGATAAAACCAACGCGATTTTGACACGTCAAACATTTTTGACCACCACCGTTATTAAAACACACACGCACAACCTAAACGAAATTAGATTAATACGCGTTAAAACTACTCGTGTGCCCGAGGGTTGTTTTCGTAGAGTGACTGTATATATTATTATTATTTAATTTTATGCGTACACGCACCTTTTCTCGTGTAATTGCTGTATACAGTTCTTAGTACGAATTTTTATGAAAAATAGGGACTGGCTGTATACATCATAATGTGACATCGCAGGGGGATCACGATCCGTTAGGGTTTTTTTTCGCTTCGAATACGTAAACATTCAACGTATTATTTGAAGCGGTATGTGATCAGAGGCGTGATTAAAATTTCATCCAATGGAGGATGGGGTACACGATTTTCAAAAACCATGGACGGGTGTGACTAAAATAAAGTCTACAACATGAATGCGATATCTCGATGTTACTTTCTATTTATTTTTGGATCTAACTTGATATCGGATGCTAACTAATTTCACTTCTACCTTGTACCTAGTTTATCTATTGTGTTTATTTTTCATCAAAACACAATCATTAAATGGAAATAAATATAATATAAATATAATATTAGTTCTTATTCGTACAAATCGATTATTTTAAAATTTCACGGAGCGTAAAATATCTATTTCCATTCCATGAAGATATCGATTTCACAAAGTGGCTACGACACATATATTATATATAAGTGTAGTAGAAATAGCTGTATACTTTATACTATATGATGTACTGTCGTAACATGATCCGGGTAGAAGGGAAGCTACAGCAAAGTCGACAAATTTCATTTACACAGGGAAACCTTTCTACGGCGGACACTATGCGTGAAGAAATTAAATCCCTTCCATTTTAGAAAGGTTCTGAACGATTTTTAATGATAAAAGATGGCTGTTCAGAGTGCATAGCTATTTGGACAATCCCGCATTCGTTACGTATCGTAAGTCTATAATTACATATTTGTACATATTATATTTGTGTAATTAATGTGAAGACGCAAATAAGTTGTCTATTTATATTCCTATCGGCCAGAAATCTGTGTCCGGTATACAAGTAATCAAATGTATGGACAAGTAGTATTAGACACGAGTAAAAAATATTTTATTTATTTGAAAAAATATATTTAGCCGTTATTTGTATGATTTATAAATATTGATGATTACCAATCGGTAAATTTTCCGATTCTCGGCGTTCGCGTACAATAATTTCCGTGTGATCTACTGAGAGGTACCCGCGTACAGAGATTAGTTTAGGTAGATACGCTTTTATGGATCTGCCAATCAAAAATTATAGTTATTATAATTGTTCTTTTTATTAATTATTTACCACTATTGTTATGCGAATAATCTGATGACGTTTATACGCTACGTATTTATATTACCATTGCCGTTGGTTTTTTTTTGTATTCTGTAGATTATAATACATACTTGTGTATGTATGCAACAAATAAATTCACAATACACTCGTGCTTTAATGGTAGGGATACATGAGTTGTTCAAAATTTAAAAATTACAAATAATTACCTGCAACTTTTAAGTTTTTTAGAGCGACAGAGGTTATCGGATTATGTACTAAGCCTCCGATCAGATTACCGCATCGCGACGACAATACTTTTTAATGGTGGGTTGTATGTACGCGGCCGCATGTTGTGTAGTCTAACCACAGTTTACAACTAAATAGCCTAGCCCAGAAAAGTCCATCCATCAATTCGTAACCACGATTGAACTTCTTCTAACTTATTTAACTTAAGTACGTTAAATGTAATACACTATGTAATACTTGTAAATGTGTAGCTGACGTTTATTAAGTCAACTAAATCAACATAGACAGGGCAACACGAAAACGAGAAATATAAACGGAGCGTTTGTACTGGATGGCTGGATACGTTTGAACTTGGTACAGATCGAAGCCCTTTTATATCTTGATAGATGACCTTCTTTTGGCGCGCTCCTTGTTCTACTACGCGTCTTTAATTGTTTACAGTCGTTATTTGATACAATCGATTTTAATCGTTTTATTATATCTTACAAAACCTGCCTATTTCTGTTTTTCATGGAATCCGCAAGTACACATTTTTTATAAGATTACGCGCGCGTACAATATGTGTTTCTTGGTGATTTGTTTAATTAAAAAAAGTACAAAGTTCAAGGTTGTTTTCATATGGTGTAACAAAATTCTTATTTTAACAATATGCCTTATTTTATAAGATATAGCTTTAAAATCTACATCATGGTTTTCTCAGTAATTAAATATAACAAAGAACTAGTTACAAGGTAGTTTTAATGTTTATGATTGACTTAACACAAAAGTAGTAAATATTTTTTAATGAATTTGTATATATCCGATGGTAAATTTTTAATTCGAAACCGGTCATACTTTACTCCTCCAGGCTAAGTATTAATTTATTTTTATGTACAAAATATTTGTTCATCTATTTATATATCATTAAATATTGTTTAAAAAAACAATTCTGTAAAAAAAACAATAGGTTCCACTTGGGATATAGTCTTTTGATTCATTGTCTACATCGGTAAAGTATCAGATGAATAACAGCTCTAGCATGTGTTATTAGCTTAATTTATGCTAAGAATTTGATATACTTTAAAAATGGTAAGTGTAAGACTATTTTAATTATACAAGGGCGTCCGTCATCAAAAATTTAGGGGGGTACGTGTGATTGGTTTCTTTCGGCGATCATTATAAATAGGTTTATTATTATGATTCCCAGAATTCTTTCCCCCATAATAAAGTTTTATCCTTGAAGGATAAGATTAGCTAATAAAATTAATTTAATATATATTTGATACAAATTAATAATTATAATATTTTAGGTATAAATGTTCAAAAGACACAGAAAAGCTGGAGGGACATGTTATCCCTTTCACACAATGGATTCCTTTGAAACTAGATCAACTAATTACCTACGGGATGCTTATTAAGAATGGTAGAAGTTGAAAAATGGCACTCCATTTAGAATAGCACAAGGCGCCAACTACAATAGTTAAAACAACATATTAAAAAAAAAAACAAGTGATATTGGTAGAAATATGATGTCAACTACAAGTTAAAATATAAAACAAAAATTATTTAAAAGTAAATGCAGATAATTTAATTAGTTTCACAGCAGTTATTTTAACAACATTATTTTAGTATAATAATAAATAAGTAATCAGACAAATCTATTAATAAATATCCTTTGAATTAATTTAGAAAATAAAAATGACTACTGTGATTCATATTTTTTTCTTAACAAAATCCTCATCGATTTTAGTTGACAATTTTATATAAATATTTAAATAAATAGACATCATTTTTCAGCTTTAAAAATTGGACCTTTTAACAATGTCAAAGTTACTATATATATTTCCAGTATGTTATAGTTACTGAAAATTACATTGAACTTTAATGATTTCAATTTTTTAATTAATTCACATATAACTGTTCTATGGATTATAAAATAAAAGGATAGTAAGTAATTTATCATTTATAATATATAGGAATGATGACTTCAACGTTTATTTATCAATGTTAAAAGTATTAAAATAATTTTTATCATAATTTTTCATAAACAATAATACAAATAATAATAAAAAAAAAAATAATAATAATAATAAAAAATTATCGAAAACAGTTACAAAAGAAATAAAATAGTTAGAATTCACAAATGCAAAAATAAAATGACTAAAAAGTGAGTTATATACTTTTGTTATTTACACAAGTTCACTAATAAATACAGTCATCGATTAATTAAAAAACCTCTCATAAACCAGAGTGCTTTGAACAATCACATGGTTCTTGCAATTATTGCTTCCAAGTTATAATTAAAAAATCACACCAATTTACATAATTTATCTTAACAGATATAAGTTTATGCGTTTTCTTAATGAAAAAATACATTGTTTAACACAGATCAAATGAAAAAATAAATTAAAGCATTGTTAAACATAAAAGATGCACTTACTAAATATTTAAATGATTTTAAAAATAAATTCAAATGAATGAGTATATGACTAATGTAATGATTAAAGTCATGATATTGTACAGGAGTTTCTTGTAATATATGATGTCGAAATGCTCAATGGAGTGTTTTTCAAATTATGATGATGTGATACAGAATGTGTAGGATAGCCATGTAATCGTGACACACCTGTACTATTGGAAGGTAATTTAATTTTTTTGGACGCCGAAGCATTTCGTGGTAATGACATGGATAGGGTTGAGAAACTAGTCAGTGCATATGATTTAAGATGTGATTTAATTGTTACAGGTAGAGGCAACTGGTTTATACCGTACTGAGTAGTTCGGGCTACAATAGCACGGCAACATAACTCTTGAAGGCTCAATACTGAAAAATAAAAACAATCTAACTTATAAACATAATTAATTATTTTTCCATCAGAAAATTTGATAAAAAATATAACAAACCTTTGTTCGATCTTAAAAGTCTTTCCATTCCATTTCTATGTAATGCTCGCCTTGCTAATTCACTAAAGCTTTCTCTGATGTTGAAGTCACACAGCGGACTGACTTCAAATAAAGTCATATGGTGTTTAGAGGCATAGGATTCAGCTTCTTTGACACTAACTTGTCTTTTAAATGCCAAATGCAAACGGTTGCCAACCAAAACTTTTGGAACTCCAGGTGCATGCTTTTCAAATTAACAGACATAACAATTTTCAATTTCATTATATTAATAAAAGTTAAAATTTGTTTTTCTTAGTATATACAATTCATTATAGCAATAAATAAAGATTAAATAATTTTATTCATGAAATGTATATGATAATTAATTAGTTTATTAAATATCAGATTTAAGCCTGGGTAATTATTAGAAATAAGTTATTACATAATAAAAATAGTTTACATTTTTATGGGAGTATCATATTTTAATGAATGCTCAAATATTACAAACATTTATAGTCATAGTTCAAATAAAGTACATACATTAGATAAGAAAACAATGATATTACTTTTTTATAAACTTTTTATATATCATATATGCATACCACCTACAGTAAATTTTTATCTTCTAATCATATGAAATTAACTTTATTCTTTTAATGTTTAAATTAAAAATAGACTAATTTTTTTTTTTTTTTATTATTTTCAGAATTGAATGATAAAATTATATTTTAATTTTAAACTATGAAAAATGAATAAAATTATTAATTAAGTACAATTTAATTAATTTAACAAAATTCAAATATTCTTAATACTTTTTCACAGCATTATAATATTTTACCTTACTACTACAGAATGTATTAATTATTAAACATACATAATAAGGTACTTGACAAATTATTATGAGGTTACAAATAATATCAGGAAGTACAGAAGTATATATAAAATAATAATTCCATAATTTAATTTAAAAATTGTTAATAAAGTAAATCATTGTTGGCAAACATTTATATCAGTTAACTGAAAGTTCATTTACAATAAATTATTTTTATTTCTTATAATTATGCATAAGTTCAGTTTTAAAATATAAAATATTAAAAATGAACTTATACTCAAATATATATGAGTTTATGTATACCTCTTCAACTTCTTTTAACCATCGGTCTAATCCATCAAATGACCATTTATTAGTTATGTCATAAACCAACAAAACACCTTGTGCTCCTCTTGAATAAGATCTGATTATTGTACATAAACGCCCTTGACCTGATGCATCCCATAGTTGTAATTTTACTCGTTTGCCATCCAATAATATGATTGTAGTTTTATATGCTGTAAACAAAATAATTTAATTTAATTAATAATTAAACACTGTTTAACTTTCTTTATAATTAATTCTTACTTAAACTGATAAAATAAGCATAACTTAAAAAAAAAAACTATACGCTTGATCTTTAGACATACAGATATGACACTAGCTAAGTTAAAAGAGAAGCACTATAGACAAGTTGAACTCTAAAAAACGTGTTGATAGGTATATATACATTTTTTTTTTCATGAACTATATTTGTTGATTTTTTTAAGGAATATAAAATGATAACTTTTATAATTATAAAAATATGTATTCAATATCAGAAAAAAAAATAAATATATACTTATTGAATGTTTTCAAGTATTAAGTCAATACATACATTATCTGTATGAAATAAAAATAAGCCTGAAAGAAAATAATTAAATAAAAATAAAATAAATTAATATATTATATTATGGTGGTAAATAAATAGGGGGTAGGAATTCTATTGATCTTGGACTAAATTTAATATGTATAAAATCAGACAATATTTATTTTTATCTAGTTTAGTTATTTTTCAAATTGGATTTGATATTTATAAAGCTATAGAGCAATATGATTTCTTTAAATAGTTTTATATTATGTCAGAAAATCAGATAATATTCATATAATTTGTTTCATTTTGATTTTGTCCTTCTTGGAGTGAAGTATTAAATTGAATGAACGCAATTCCTCAGTAAGGACAAATACACTTGAGTAGCAACATAATATATTTAAATAAAAATTTTAAAAAATTGTTACAATTGTTATAGGTAGATATGGTTTATTATTTTAATAGTTAGTGGTAATCATTAATTAAATACTAAATAAATAAAAATAGTTGAGCTGTATGATGAACCTACTAAAACAACAAACTTAAGGATAAATATTACTACATAGAAAGACTGATTATTTAGATAAGTGTGGAATCTTTAAACATTATCATAGTAAAAATAACACCATTCTATTAATCCTAAATAAAATATAGAAAGCTTTAAAACTTAATAATTTTATGATATAAAAATTTAAAATATGGTTTTCAAAACTGAATAAAAATTATGGGAAAATTACATAGTATGAAATACCTAATATGTTTCAATTTCGGCAGGCAAACAATTGATGATGTAAAAGATGATTGAACCGGTTAAAGCCAAATAGTATTCATGCATATTTCAACTACTATCTCATGTATAATATATTAAAATACAACTATTTAAAAGAATGATCAAAATATTAAATACATGAGGTTAATCAACCTATTGATTAAAATTTGTTATTACCACTTCCACTGCAATACGGAGACTCAGACGATCCATCTTCAAGATCGTTCAACATCTCCTGTTTTCCGACATCACTGTCACCGACCAACAGGAACTTCAGCAGGTAATCATACTCTTTCTGCTGCGGACAACTGTCGGTTTCAAGCGACATGCCAATTTCGATGTGTCGTTGCGCTAAGTCATTGGCGGTCGCCACACAACGCTTCAATCAGACTTAGGTACAACGCGTACAGGCACACACAGTACGACACGTCTCTTTACATTAACGAACTGATCGCGATCTTAAACGCGAGTTTCACGTCCACAACGAAGAGCGTCTTCGGTCCAGTCATGTATCGGATTCGCAATATGTTGTCAAACCTTTTGTTGTTCGTGCTTCAATGCACCTACCGTCAGTCGTGATAACGCTAATCGATCCATGTGACCAGCTGGTGCGCTTACTATACGGCAAAGATGTTACGAAACATGAACAGTAACAATAATCTAATGTCCGATCGACGTGTTGTGATAAGAATAACTACAAGTAACCTGTTGTTTTGTTTGTTTCCCACGTCCAAAATATTATTGTTTATAATTTTTTTCCCGACATTAATCACGAAGCCGTATGGAACATTAATGTAAATATCCAAGTATTTTCCATGGTTACAAGAAGGTTTTAAGACGTTAAAACGGCTTCGCACCTATGCCGTAGAGCAATCGGCGACAACACGGTCGCGAACATAAGGGTTACCGCGGCTACTCTTTGGAATGATAACGATTCGATAGTGATAAGACGACACCTGGATACAGCGGCGGTGATGATAATGGTAACAATTTCGTAATCTACGTTTCCTGGTGGACGTCAAATGGAGTAAACTTGTATTCTAATTTCTGGTTCGTGTCATTCGCCATCGTTTCCTCGCGCGTGCACTCCTCTCTACCCCTTCTGACGTTTATTCTTGCGCACATGAGTGGTTGCACATCATTGTTGTTAATTGCTACACAGATAACGTCGTTGGAAAAATAGTACGTGCGACGTATCACGGACGAGGTGGGACCGAAGTAACGGCTGTGTTAAAAATACCGACGACCTTCGCTACCGCCAATCCGAATGTGTGTCGCGGCGGCGTCAAGTCGTTGTGCAACAAACAATTCGTTATTATAAATAATCATAATAATACACATATATATTTATCAAAGACCGCACTGTGGCGGTTTTCGAAACCTGTGCAACCCACCGCCGCGTGCTGCGTTGTGTGCGGTGCGCGCGTGATTCTCTCGTCTACAAATTCTTCAGTTTCACGTGTTTATCGCCGTCGACCGTCCGTTAATCCGTAAAGCGAACGTGCTACCCGACTCCTTAGATCTGTTCTCTCCACCACTATCTCTCTCTCTTTCGCCGCCATTGTATTTTCCTCTGTGCCGCGGCGATTACTCGGTATAATCGTTTGTTGTGTGAGATAATAATAATAATAATAATACGTATATTTATTTTCGTGCGTCGTCGTCCGTTATTGTGTCAGCCTTTCGTCGTGCGCGCGCGTCGAAAATTATGAACCCGTCGTCGGGGCACGTTCGCTGAGAAATGGCCAGTGGCCAACTACTACCGGACGACCGAAACACAGACGTCGATCTCTGCGCGCCATTCGCGATCGCCGCCGGTGTACGACAAGGCTAAATTACGGATTTTGTGAGTACCTCGCATTACGATCAGTGTTATTTACGTTATTGTCGTACCGTTGACGTAACTATCCGACGGTGCCGTGTACCATCCCCGAACGTCGCCGGTTTTTCACGATAACCCACCCCCCGGGTTCAAACACTGTAGTAACGGATATCAAGTTGTACTGATGATCAGGAGGGAAGGGTTAACGTTGATGGCCACGGAATTCCCGTTCTAGTCGACCACGTTCCGCTATGATTTTTTGTTAAATCCGAGTTGCCCAATGTTATTGTTTTTGTTACGGATGACCCTTGGTGTCGCGTACGCACAAATCAGGTGGTTTACCTTGGGGAGAAGACCATAACTTTTTTATGTAAAACATTCAAATCGCCGGTAATCTCTTTCTCTCTCTTGTTTATTATAAACAAGAAATAAAATACTCGCCCATTGCATCATTTTGAGTTATGTTGGAGGTCATTCTTTTGACACTTTTTCTATTTCCTATTTAATGTTCTTTTTACGTGTTCTATTCGAGTTGTGAATATTTGAATTGTTGTTTTCTTATTATTTTTGCGTGCATTTCATGTTAGGAAAACCCATGCCTTAGGTACTATTTTATTATTTTTTCATTCAACTAATAAGTTTATAGTTCAAATTAGTGAAGCTTTTTACTAGGCATTTGAAGTTTAAATGTTAAGAATTTGTTATTAATTCCATCTGTCTCCCTCATAACTTCTAGAGTAGCTTTTATCAGCTATGGTAGGTACTTACCCATGTTATTATATTATTAAATAATACATCTTAACACCTATTAATCATTATTATTCATAAACAAGTATCTAAGTTTTTTGTTTGATTTGATTTTTTCTTCTCATGGTAATTACTCGGATACATTATTTAGGTACCTACCCATACTAATCTTACTAAATGACCTAATATTATATATAACTTAATATTTTAAATACACAATACCTTTTTTTATTTCATGATATTTTAATTATTTCAAAATATTGTGAACCAATAAACTTTATACATAATCATTAATCTTAGTATTTGTTTTCTCTTTAGTTACTTCCTTTGCCAGATAAGTTATTTGTATTAATATTTATACTGTTTTGTTTTATCAGATACATTTTGTTCTTCATCAATTTTCATTGGTTAACTATTTTTTTTGAAACCTTGATATACAATTTATCAGGGGTTTCTAAACTAATAATATTTATTACCAGTGGTTAAAGTGAAGGGGGATAAAAGAGGACAATGTCCTCTTTCTTATTTTAAGGAAGATTATGCATCCCCCTTTAAATCTCCAAAGACTGGGGAGACTTAAAGCTAAACAGCATTAGTATTCATCACATAAAATACATAATGTATTATCATATTAAATTTATTATTAATTAATATATTTGAACAAGTGGAAGAAAAAGTTAAGACTGAAGAAAACATATTTACAATGAAATAATATATTGCGATATATAAGAAATAAGTATAAGATATTATTCTTATAAACATGTACCTATTTACTCAGAATAGGTATCACATATCTTATTTAACAAAAAAAAATTATGTCCAGTAAAAAATTCAAGATAACTTACATAAAGTTTTTTCATATGTAAAATTTAAAATATCACATTTTTAATAAAACATCAAATTTATGTTTAATGATCGTATACTTAAATAATAAAATAATTATTTTTGTTTTATTTTCATCATTTTTTATTCTATGATATTTAAGTCCAAATTTATGAATTGAACAAATATATTTTCTATAGACAACAACACATATTTTAAAATATGAAAAATTGTATAATATTCTCTAATCCCCAAAATATGTTGAATTATGTAAAATAAATATTTTTCTACAAACTATAATAATAAATATAAAAATAAAAGTTATCCTTCAGTTGCATAAAAAAATATATATTTATTTAGTCGTTGATAATACATAAACATTATTATTACGTGCATATTTGTTATTGTTTTATTGACCAAAAACTGTAGGTTAACAAGGTTGGTAATTGTTAATTTTTAATTTTGTTACAGTTATAAATAAAAAACTGCTTTATATATATATATATATATATAATAATAAATAATTAAAATGTAAGCTTGTGAGTTGTGGTATTATTTTATTACCTAACATGTGATGTTTAATATAAATTTGTTTTATTTGTATTTTTAATGAAATATTTTAGACTAAACCAAATTAAAAATTTGAATTAATTTTTTATAAATGCTTTAGGTCATATATTACAATTTATTTTTATTGACCTGCCATTTTGGGGGGGGGGAAGGAAACTTAATTTTAGTTTATACACCCTATAAAACTAATAAACAAATTTGTGCAAAAGAAAAAAATTATAGAGGTCTTGTCTTATGGACTACCTAAAAAAGTTTGATAGGATTAAGACTTTGGTAAGGGAACGTTCCTTTACCATTTTTGATGATTATAGTCCCCTCTCAACATTTTCATCACTTAAACCACTGTATATTACTCAATAGTAATAATTATTTTACCCTTGTTGTGTTGCCAAAAGTTTTCTAAAACCCTTGCAATCAAATGTTTGAAGACATCTGTAATAGATACCTAGCAAATATAAACTAATGACTGTTAACTAGCTTCTAAAAATAGATTAATAAACTAGTGAACATAAACATGAATGTGTGGTTGTATTTAATTATTGGTCATGTGATTAGTAATTTAGCTATGATATAAAATATTCTAAGACATTGTTATGGACTGTACTTAAATAAATTATTTCATGTTTATCTCCAAGTTTATCTTATGTTTTGTTACAAATGTTTTTTGTTTAGTTGTATGAGTATAAGATAGTATTTATTATCATAGTAAGGTTAGTAAGCTACCCAATTATTAATGTTATTTTTAAATAATTAATCTGTTTACATTTATATGTACTAGTTACCTACTTACTTTCTATAGTATATACAACTAAAATAAGAAAAATGTGTATGTTTATATTAATCTAGGTTTTAATGTATCTGTAAAAATACATTTTATCTCTTGTCTTCTTATCCAACTTCAACCTCTTATAGAGTTCAATTATATAGCACAGATTTAATTAATTGTATTCAAAATCTACTATGTGCTATCTTAAATAGTTTTAAATAATAATGTATAATTTTGTATTAAATTTAAAGAATATATTAATTTATCTATTTATCTACTTTTGTCAAAAATTTTATGATTTATGACATTGCAAACATTCCATTTGTAGAACTTTTTTCATATGGCGTATTTGTAGAATAAATAATCTTTATTAACTAATCTAATAATTAAATTACATGTTAATTTGTTGAGAGCAGAATTAAAAGTTTATTGGTTGATTTTGGCATATTATTGTATAAAAATAGTTTAACATGTTGTAAGAATGCACATTATGCTAATCATACGATTAAAAGTGAGAATAAAGTTAAGCATGTCAACTATTTTGAAATTAAAATTTAATGTAGTATCAGATTTTTTTGTATTACAATAATAATAGTAAATATTATTTTATTACAAATGTTACTACAGTGTTGTTATTTGAGTAAAATTAAATTCTAATAATAATAGCAAAGTTCTAATCCTAGAATAAATTAGTATGCAAGTATTTATTTATACAATTTTTTTTTATTAAATTACAAATGTTAGTGTTAAATTAAACAATTACGTTTAGCCCTTGCAAGAATAGTAAATGTATCCTTTTTTTTTTTTTTTTTTTAAACACATTTCTATTCAATGTTATATTTTTAATTTATATACCTAACAAATTATATAATGTTGTTTAATTGTATTTTACAGAAGAAGGATAAGGAACGTTCTAATCTCCATGAATTCGGTTTGGACGCAGTGTCCAGTGCTGTTGCCACAGCGATAGCACGTTCAGTTGTTGCTCCTTTTGATAGAGTCAAAATAATTTCTCAGGTAAGTAATCTTAATATTTATAAATACACTTAAGTATTTATTTTGTGTATATTAACCAAACAACTCTTAAATTAAAATGCAGATATGAGTATTTATATATTCAATATTCAAAATGTATACAATTATTTCATATTTTCAAAAATCTTTAATTTTATAGGTGTTCTTAAACGCATCGCGTTTATACTTTGTTCGCTCAGAGAATATAATCATTTAGAGCAGACCACTGACGGCTAGCTAGACCAAAATGCTCTATTATCATTCTTCTACTGTCATCCCATGTTACTGACAATAATAACAAGATAATTTTGGTTATTGTTTACTCATATTCTCTTAGCATTCAAAGTATATATAGTAATATAATTTGTCTTTTCATAAAGTATCTTATGTACAAGTCTTTAATATTATCAAAACTTTGAAATATTAATTAGTTTTTAAATGTATGTACTGTATTCTTTATTTTTTTTTTGTGATCAATCGTATATTCTATGTTTTATTTTACTATTAATTTATTTGTTGTATTTATATTATCAATCAGTTATGCAACTTGTTAGGGGGAGTTGAGAGATTATTATATTCCTACCTGAACGTAGTGTAAGTAAGATTTTGAATGAAATCTACATTTCATTTAAATTCCAACTGTAGTACATTTATTTAATCATAACTACCAATATGTTACATATTAATCATTGAAGTGAAAATACATTAGTGCTCAATAGAAGAGCTATAAGATATTTTTCTAGCTTTTAGAATTCTAATTATATGTATAAATTATAAACTGAGGATTCATTTTACATAAAAAATATATAGTAACTTCTATAATTTTGAGATTCTATATTGTATAATTTCATGTAATGTTAGAATGATATTACTTTTTAGATTGTTATTTATATTTATATCTCCCTATTTATAACTAATTTGTAATGTCCCCCTCCCAAAAATAATTTCTAGTTGCATTACTGTTTATAACTCAGTTTAGTCACAAAAAATGTACAAGATCTGATATTATAAATAGAAATTTGATTAAATAAATTTGTATTATACTGCTTCATTGATATCTCAAAATATTCGTGCATCTTAGAGTAGTTATTATATTTACATTAATTTGGTTTTCAAGTATAAAATGAGTATTGCTATAATTTCAATCAACCGTACATGCATAAGTATTTAGTTCTTAAAATATAAATTAAAGTGATATTTTTCATGTAATATTGGTAGATTATTGAAATTAAATTTATTTAATTTAATTAATAAATGTAAAACAAACTTAAAAATCAAATTTATTAGTTAGAACCATTTTTTCTGAAAGTAACACTTGCTATTAGTAGCAAGTGTGACTTTAAGAAAATCATAATTTAGGTAATAATAATTAAGTTAACAAATAATCTGTATATAAAAAAATTGAAAATATTTATAATTAATAACCACTTATATTTGTATAATATTTATGTCATATGTGTGATAAACTTCAGAATATAGTTCAAAAACATAAAGATAAGATTTGACAAATGCACTGATGTCTGTGTTTATCTATTCAAATTCTGATCATCATTGTACTTATTTGTAAAGTCCTTACATTTTTAATATTTATCAGAATTATTCAAAAGCTTGAAATTGCGTAAAATTATAACTGTAGAATTACCTGCATTTTTAGATAAATACTTGTGATTTCTTATGAGGAAATTTGAAGATTTGCACATTAATTAAAAATATTTTTTAAACTTTTTTACGTAAATTTTAATAAAACGATGATATTCTGTAAATTATTAATTTTTTTTTTAATAAAACTACTTATGAATAGAATTTTTAATCTACTAATGTATTAAGACTTGATAAATAATAAATACATATAACAGATATTTTCTTTCATGTTTAATGGATACCATTCTTATAGTGTAGACTATACATTACTGACAGTTTTTTTTTTTTTTTTTAAAAATTAATTTTATATTTTACTTTATTTTAGGTTCATTATACATCAACAGTAAATGGTAATAATAATTTGCATTATCATCCAGGTATCTTAACTACATTAAATCAAATATATCGCGAGCAAGGTTTACGTGCACTATGGTTTGGAAATTTCACCAACATTTTAAGATTTGTTCCTTCTCAGGTATGTTATAAATGACAAACAAATATAAAATATTATTATTGTATTACATAAAATAAAACTATTTAATGTAATTTATTGATATTATTTATAATCAACAATAATTATACAAGTACCTACTTATAAAAAATATATCACTTTTATTAGATGAAATATGATCAAAAATTATTTTATTTTATATAATTATAATAGATAGTATAAGAGTAGATACTAGAAACATGTAAGGAAGTTTTGATTGACGATTAGTATTTAATTACTTTATTGTACAAAGTATAATATTATAAAGTGATTAGTAACTTGAACTTATATATTAAAATCATTGATTAAAGTCTATTTAATTTTTTTTGGTAATTTGTATGTTTAATCATAAAAGATTAATTCTATAACTTCATAAAGAAGGGTTCAATCATTTATGGTTTGATTTACAACATTGCAATTAAAATTAATACTAAAAAACTTATTGTTTTCTAAAAACATTAAATTTGTTTTATTTGCCAATTATATTTTTAAACGAAAAATTATAACCTATTTTTTAATCTTCGAAATTATTTTTTCTTTAAGTACAATATTTTAAGAAATATCAAATTCATTATATTATGTTATTTTATTATTTGAAACAGGCAGTAATGTTTGGACTAAACACATTTTACCTAAAATTTCTGTTGGGAAATATAAAACATAAAGATGATGGTCTGAGTCATACTGCCTTAAGTTTAATATCTGGTGGATTGTCTGGTGCAACAACCTTATGCATGTTTTATCCACTTCTTTTCTGTCAAACTCATTTAGCTGCTCATGTTGGACCTTTAGTAGACCGAGAATATACTGGTTTATTAGACTGCATACAAAAAACTGTACATACTAATGGTGTACGGGCATTGTATACAGGTACGTTTTTCATTTAAATGATTGAATGCCATTTCTTTTATAATGTTCATTAGTATAATTATTAAATTTTTTGTATAGGATTTGCAATTGCAGCTAATGGTATGGTCATAAACAAAGCCATCTATTTTGGAGCTTATTATAGTTTTAATAAAACCATATTAGATCACACTAATAGCCTAGTTTCAAATGATCAAAAAGATGTGAAGTTACCATTTTGGATTCGTTTTGCAACGGCACAGGTTTGTTAAATTCAACACCTCAAACATTTTTAATATAATAATTATAATGTATGTTTTATATCTTTAGGTTGCCACTTATTTGTCACAACTATTTAGCTATCCGTTAGACACAATAGGCCGAGTGTTAATTGTACAAACATCACAAGAAGAGAAATTGTATCTAAATGCCAGAGACTGTTTTACGAAACTTTGGAATTCCCAAGGTTTATCAGGTTTATACCGTGGAATGTTACCCAATATGATTCGATCAAGTGGATCAGCTTTAATTCTTGTGCTTCACGATGAATTTAAATGGACACTAAGTAAAATGGGTTTATTTGGTGGAGACAAACAAGATGACTAATAATTCTTCTATCTACTATTTTTCATTATACTTATGTATATTTCTATAAAATTAAAACAGTTTTAATGTTTAATTTTAGTTGACGCCATGCGATTCTAGTCAAGTATTATCTAACCTTGTTAGTATCTGCGACCAATTATTTGTGAATATCATGTACAAATAAAATATTTGTTATAGATATTAAATAATAATTATATTGATTTTTTACACTGTATAATTGTGTTTATTTTGTATATAAATAATTATTCCTTTAAAATAGAATTGATTTATAATGTAAAATGTTTATGATTATTCATAAATGCAAATATGACATGAACAAATGTAGTTCTTATGTTTTAGTTGGTTTGTTGTATTAATGAAGAAATGTCATGGCTAACACTAAATTAAATGTTTAAGGACTTAAATGAAAATAGTTTAAAACAAAAATATTTTTGAATAGTTTATTAAAAAATTTATAAAATTGACAATCATCAAAAAATATTATTTGAAAATTGTAAACTATTTAAAATATCCTTTTTAAGGAAATACAATTAGTTATCTTTAATATTATAAGTATTGCGTTGCAAAATAATGCTTTGTTTAAAAATTAATTATGTTATATACTAATTATAATATCAAATTTATTTTAACACTAAAATGAAAGGAAACAGTAAAAAGCTGATAAGATATAAGTTTTGTTTTTTAGCTCTTTATTGCACATCCACTGAAATTGATTTACAATATTGGATTGTTTCTAAAATGATTTAAATTATTGTATTATTCAAAAGCTATTTATTGTTAGAGGGTGGTTAATAATGAATAAAGAAATTAGTATTACCATTTTTGCAACAAAATCATTAACAATGTGAACGAAAATTAGACAAAAAAAATTATATTCCATAAATTAGTTGTGATGAAATGCAGGTAAAATGCATTTTATACTTATACAATTTTAAAATTTTATTCATATGAGTTATACAGTACGATATTTCTAGTCTATTTTTTATAGTATTTGTATAAAATTCTGTATTAGTATTAGTTGTTTTTCTACTTATAATATTATTCATAAGCTGAATATTGCTTTCCTGGTACCTTTGTTTTTTCAAAAACCATATTGACCGTATTCTAGTTGTTCTCAAATTCTATTTCCAACTCTTTTTCTAATTGTTCGGAGTTTGAAAGCATGTGATAATAAGCTTAAAGTTCTGAAACTATTGCATTGATCTGCTCCTGCTTTTTTCTATAAAAGTACTAGTATACTTTTGTAAGTCTTTTGGAACAATCCCTATATTTTATATATCATGCATTAATTTAAATAGTTCTTTTGTTTTTGTGCCTGCGAATTACAGTAGCTCTGTATTTATATTATCTGGTCTCGGTGCTTTATTTGTTTTCATTATTTTTAATGCATATTCGAATTCCGATCTTAAAATACTTGTATTTGTCAGTTTCCCTGTGGATCTCCATTTTGTTGTATTTGAATCAATAACTCGGGTTCATTATCTTTATATAGGGACTCGACATATTCTATCCATCGATCAGCTATTTTTTCTTCTTCAGTTATTACATATATGACCATCTTTGTCTTTAATATATACACATTTTGTTTTTCTCTCTATGTTACTAAATCTAATCTATGATTATGTACAATGAATTATTGGAACACGTAATATTTTCTAAAATATTGAAGTTATAATCATAATTTTTGGTTGAAATTATTATTTTTACAGATAAACCAAATAGAAGTAAAATAACAGGTTAATTTTATTAACTAATTTCAAACACTATTTGAACTCTTTAATAAGGTTCCTCTATTTTTTACATCGGTTAATATGGAATAAAAACGTTATGACTATAGTTAAGTTTACTTGATTATTTTATAGGATTGTTTACGCATGTTGTACAATTAACTTACAATAAAACCAATAATATAATAGAGAATATTATCCTTAATAATACTTAATCATTGGTCAATTTCGCCCATAAAAAATAATATTGGAGCATCCATAATCTACACAAAACACTGTGTAACTGGCACTGTTTAATAGTTGTACAATTTAATATTCCAATTACAAAAATATTTGTCAAAATTAGTACCTATTTAATACGTAAATTATATTCCAAAATGTACAAAACTGAAAATATACCAAACAAAATGTGGCGAAAAATAATTTGTCGTGACAACCTAGAATATTACGTCACCATTTTTAAAGTTAAACGTGATAAAAAAAAGTACCTTGTCTAGAGCCGGACTGGGTCAGACATTTTTACTGGGAAAATAAAAAAAACTCCCCCTTTACATTTACCAAATCACAGAATATGGCATATTGAGACATAAATATACAAGAGCACAAATTTCCCGATGTAAAGAAAATATTATTGACCTAGATGAAGCCTTAAAAAAGATTAAAGATAGGAAAATAAATTTACGTGAAGTCGCAGGACAATGAATAGCTGGTCATCAAGGCTTCAATCAATGCAACTGCAAAACTGGTTGTGACACTAAAAATATGCTTGCAGTGCAGCAGGGGCGCATGTAAACTCCGCCAGTGAAGAAAATCGAGTAGTAGTTAAAAATTTACATGATATATTATTAAACAAAAATTATAATATTATATAATATCATATCTTTCACATAAAATATTTAAATCATAGTAAAAAAATCATAATAAATAATCAATATACCTAATAATATAAAATCATATTTTTCATAATAATAATTAAAAACCGTCCACATTAAATATTTTAATCTCAATAAAAATAAAAAATCATCGCAATAGATGTCAACGTATTTAAAGTGAGAATACACGTGGCAACGTGAGCACTGAACAGGTAAACAAAAAAAACTGGCGGAGTTTACACTTGACCTTTTATTACCTTTTTATCTTAACCGATATTCTGGTGGAGTTTACAATCGGGGTAAGTAAATTGAGTCCCGGGGAAAAAAAGGTAGTAGGTAAATTGAGTCCCAACTATTAACAATACTACCTCGCCGTAGTTGTTTAACAAATTACAATTCACACTATTTTTATCGGTTATCTATTCCATCGTGATCAAATAACTTTGATCAACTAACTACGTCATACCTTTGATTATGTCTAATAAAGATACGTATATAGGCATATACATAAATTAGTTTGTCGCATATCGTGTGTTAGTTATCAGTTAACACCAATATTGATGATGGTTTTTATTACACACAGACGAGTGAACGAAATCTGAGCATTTTCAATTTATTTTTCGTAGCGTACATTGTGTACTGCATGGGCGTCATTAAAGTCCAAATTTTGGGGTGGAAAAGTTTATTTTTCGAAAGTTAAAAAAAAACATTTTTAAAGGTTTAACATGATAACTGGCTTACTAACTCTTCTTCATTAATCTTGGTATAATGTATAGAGTATACACTGCCTTATTGTCTGTATTGAACTTATCACAAAATATATTTTGGATACAATCACAATAATAGATGGTCTATGTTCGTACACATTTGAATAATAAACTTCGAATATATAACTATATAAAATATCGAATATAAAATCTATAACTTTTTTTGGGGTAGCGAAAAAATACCCTTGCTACCCCACAACAATTTCTGAGGTAGCAAAGATACCCTTCGATAACCCTTAGTGACGCCTATGGTGTACTGTACGCTGATTTGGGTTTGTTAAATTCGTATCTTTTAAGTTTTTATCGAAAATGTAATAAAAAACACAATAATATTAAAATTTACTTCTAATAAAAATTATTAGATATTTAAAAAAAATTGTTTACCTTGGACTTAAGCTACTCTACCTCCCCCCCCCCCCGAGACCCAACATACCAACTACCTTTTTTTCCTCGGGACTCGACTTACCTACTGCCTTTATTTTCCCGGGATCCAATTTACCGAGAAAATGTTATTTAGAACCGAATTTACCAACTCCCTTACAATCGTCCGAGCAGCAGAAATGTTGTCCAGATCAAAATTTCCAAAAATGTACATATAAATAATTTATAGTATACATTTATTTTATTAATTTCAATCAACCTAATATTTTTTCAACTGAGTAGGTACCTAAAATACAAAATGAAACACCCACCAACAATAAATCATTTTTAAATAGTACCTACAGTAAAACAACCATTGTATTATTTGAAATGTATCATAATTTACCACCAGTCTTAGTAAATTACGTCAATGACCGGTGAAAGATGTGCATTTGAGTTTAAAATGTGTTTTTTTTTTACTACGTTTATCTACAAAAGTGAATCATTTTGGTAAATCACGTGAATGACGTAATATATATATATATATATATTGTATATATATTGTTTTTTAATTTTACACTTATAATGTAATTCTATTGTTGTTTACTATCATCATATAATAATTGTAATATCTTTTCTGCACATATATATATATATATTAATTATAAAGGGCTCAGCCCGTAAATTCTTAATAAATAAAAAAAAAAAATAAATATATATATCCATAACAGTGATGTCCAACCTTTTTTCCTTGATGAGCCACTTTGGTAAACATTTATCTAAGAGCGAGCCACCAAATATAAAAGTACGAATAACATTAATATTAATCTAATGACGTTATTATGTTACACATAATAGGTATACAATATAGGTACATAGGTATTGAAATTGTTTTCAAATATTTTATTGAATACTAAAAAGATTACAGATTGAGGTACACGTTTTAGGTACACATTAATTTTATCAGTGCGCTATTTTAAGTGCTCGGTTATATCGTGAAATTTAAAATAATACATTTAAAAAAAATCATATTTTATACTAATTTTAATTTTTTTAAAACGTGGGTTGTGCACCACTGATCTATAATATCACCAATATGATACTTTTCATTTCGTTTTCCTGTAGATGGTGGAACGTGATCATTATTTTGTTATACGAATATTGAATGTTTGACAGTTGCCGTTGCCATATTTTAATTGACGACTAAGAAACAATGATGAGTCTTAATTAATTATTCTTCTTCTTCTCAGCTTACCGGTCCGTTGAGGACCATTGCTGCCTTCAAGAGGTCTCGCCATCTATCCCTGTTGTACGTCAGCTCAAAAGTTAGATTTTGGCCTATCTCTTTCAAGTCTCTGGATATCACATCTATCCACCGGGTTCTTGGTCTTCCTAGGGGCCTTGTTTTGTTAATTTTTCCAACAAGTACTTTTTTTATTAGTTGTCCATCTGCTCTCCAAGTGTGTCCAAACCACTCTAGTCGTTTGT